TCGAGTCGGAGCCGACCCATAGCGACCCTGTACAGGGTTTCCAAGGGTGTAAATCCTTACGGGAATAGAAAGCCTCATCTTTCTCCCGCGGAGCGGCTGGTAGTTTCGAACCACTGACCTTAAGGTTTGCAGCCCGATTGGCATTCTTTTCTCAGTTCCACAAGAGATGGATTCCAAGTGGTCCAGAAGACAGGCAGGAATTCTATTATTTTTTCTTTCAGCATCTCTCAAACCCACAACCTGATGACATCAAACTTCCAGGCTCCGCCTCCAGGCTCTGCTCCACTCAATCCATTGTACACACATAACACCTTCAAAACCCTCACTGTTCTATCTAACTCCCAACTGGACCTTGGTTTCCACCATGTCCCAGTTTATAACCTTATTCTAGCATTCCTACCTCAGAGCACAATTTTGCGCATCTTTCCCTTTGTAATGTTTACCTCATCTAGCCCTCTCCTATGGCTCTCACAAGGTCCTGTTTAAGTCACACCTATCTCACCCACACACAGCTTTCTCTGATGTCAGAGTATATCAGCTTATTCCTTTTCTGAATGCTCTAGCAAGTACACCGTATACAATGTCAGCATTCCATTCAACACCAGCTCACCACTAACTCTTAATGGTTGTGTGATTACTGAACCTCTCTGGGCCGCCATTTCCTCATTTGTAAATAACATAAATCTGAATTAAGAGATTTTTTTTATAAAGATCTTCCTGTTCTAAAAATCCTCTCATTTTCAATCTTGCTTCACCCATCTACTGGACTTTTTAAGGTTTTATCCTAAAGAGAGAAAGGCCATCTTCTATCTCCTCATTCCCCGTGGGGCTTGGCTCCAGGAGCTGCTCAGTAAATGGGAGTGACTGAAATTAATCCAGGCAGAGAGACAACTTGACCCAGACCAGTTTCTAAGTAGAAATCGGTTCTCTTACAGAGCTGCAGGTCTGCCTTGACAGAAAGCAAGAAGACTGGAACAACCACAGGTTTAAAGCACTCAAACTGGTCTTTTCATTCCAGTGCTGCGCTGCCCGAGGTTCGAGTACATAGGCCTCTAAATGCTGTCAGTGCCGTCCAGTTCGTTCTGACTCTCAGAAACCCTGTATAGGGTTTCCGAGGAACAGCTGGTGGGTTTGAATCGCTGACTTTGCAATTAGCAGCCCAGTGTTTATTCTATAGTGCCACATCAGGACTTCAAGCCTCTAAAGGGCAGGTGACATTCTTAGGTGCTCAGGGATAGATTATCGGGAGGGCGGGTCTTGGTTACTGGAGAAAGAATTCTGGTGTTGCCATGAGCTAAGTATTGGGCTGCTAACCATAAAGTCAGTGGTTCAAACCCATGAGATGCTCCAAGGAAGAAAGAGATTTACAATCACGGAAACCGTCAGGAGAAATTCTACTCTGTCCTATAGGGTTGCCATGGGCCAGAATTGACTCAATGGCAGTGGGCTTGGGGTTTGGGGTTTTGTCTACTGGAGAGCCCTGGATGAAGTGGTTAAAATGCTTGGCTGCTAACTGACAGGTCAGTGGGTTTGTCTTCAGCCAGCCCCACAGTAGTGGCAAAACTTAGGTTCATGTCAGTCAGGCCAAACCTAAACCCGCAATAGATGAATGAGTTCTTCCATATTCCACCCCAGTGTGCTACTCACAAGGAAGGAAAAAACAGGCTTTTTTAAGTGGGAAAGTAACAAAGGGAGGTTGACTGAAGCATTCTGCTCTATATTAGGCTTTGGTTAAATGATTTTATTTTCCTCTTTTTCTTACAGGTAGGTGGAAGGAGGACAGACGTCAACATTAAGCAGGAGTTAACCAGGAACACCCAGGTAGTGAGATAATGTAACCCTGCTGAGCCCTAGGTCAGAGTCGAAGGGTAAGCCCCTCTCAATTTCAGGATCTTCAAATAAATTGTATTCAATATCCACACATGTGTCTGCTTTCACCAAGAGAGAGTAAGTATATCCATCCCTATTTAAATCAAATTCAACCCACCGGTCAGTTCTAAACGTATGTTGGCTCAAAATGTATGCCCTGAAGAGTTATCAAATCAAATGGAAGCCTCCGGAATGCAGCCAGTTGCTCCTGGAAAAATCAAATGGAGAAGACGACGTGGCTTTATGTCTAACAGCTCTTCAAACTGCAATGTTATGTCACTGCCCTTCACTCAGCTGTTTCACGGCGAGAAGACAAAAGGCAACCACTGACTCGTCACTCTTTTTTTTTTGGCATGATGCCACAAGATTGCTAATGAACAGCTATATCTCTGTTCATAAGCAATCTTGTGGCTTCACAATTTATCTATGAAATTGGACATTACCAAATATAAGTATTTTTCTGTCTCCCCAAAGAAACCTCAAAGTAAAGGTGAGCTCTCCGATTCACTTTCTCTGCCATCATACACACTTCTGAAACTTCAGGGCTATTGGAGGAATGTTAGACAGAATCATCTTCCCTAATTATAGCATCGAAGAGAGATGGGTTTCCCACCTGTTCAGGAGTTTAGAAATCTAAACTGGAGAACTGAGAAAATGCTCACTGCTTAGGGCAGACTTCAGTGACAGCAATCAGGGAAATTCCTTGTCTAAAAAACCTTAAAAGGACCTCCTCACACTGCTGGAAGATGAAATTTGTTGCTTCAGTGCTAACTATGCAACAAATTTAGATTTAGAGAAAAAGATGAACTGCTAGCTTTCTAGGTTCAAGTTCTAGAGTAAGTTTAATGGATAAAGTGTGCATTTAAAATTATTTTTGTAAAAAACCTGGACCCGAAAGTTTTTGTCCAAGACACAAATCTGGGTACTTGAGTAGCCAATCTTATTATATCATGAGCAGATTATCTGCTGAAATCAGTAATCACCTATGAAAACATCAAATTATCCCCTCTGCAAACCAATGATACACAGTAATTTAGCAGTTTACATGACAGTGACTGATTCCTAGCTCCCTAGAAAACAGGAGTCCTGGTGTGGTGCTGTGGGATAATGCCGTAGAGTCGCTTCCAACTCATAGCGACCCTGTATAGGGTTTCCCAGGAGCAGCTGTTGAGTTTGAACCACTGATTCCACGGCATTAACAACAAGTAAACTAAAGATCTATGTCATTCTAAAAACCACTGCTTTCTGACAATTTAGTGCTCACTTTGAGAATACTCCAAAGAAGTTTTGTGACAGAGCAGCTGCGGGCTCAAGACCCATGGACAGACAGAGTAAGGCTGCGTGCAGAATGTGCCCTTTGGACATGTAAATGAATATGTATTTTTTGCTTTGTTTGTGTACATCAAATGGTTTTGCTTTGTTTATTTATGAAATAAAAGATGTAAATGGGGAGCCAGAGGGAAAAAGTAGGGTAACTGTTGCTGCAGGGAGGGGATTGTAATCATTGAGATGAAACAAAGCGTATAATTTGTTGAATGTAAAGCTGATCATCTTGTCTGTAAACCTTCACTCAACTCACAATAAAGTTAAGAAAAAAAGACAGCCTTACAGAAGGAAGCACCAGACACAGTTTTCTTCCCTGTAAAGACCTTCCCAGTCGCCTCGGATCTCTCTCTACCATAAGAAACGATTGTGCAGGCGGCCTCAGTGTAGGACCTTTCTGGCCAATGAGAGTACAATGATGGTTACTAGCAGCAGGTCCACAGAACTTCAAAAACAAACCCAAAAAACCACACATCCTTTCATAATGGACCATCACACTTTCACCTTATTCTTTTTTATAAAATTCTAAGAATTTCATTCAGGGTAAACAAATGAATGGCAAATTCCTAATAATAATCAGACAGGGTTGGGGTGGGGAGTCACAACTTGAGACAAAGAAAAACACTCCAACATTAAAAATGTTATTTTTCTATTTAAAGTTGACACATTGCCTTAGGATACCCTTCAAACCATGACCCCAAAACTATCCCTGGAAGTTATCTTCAAATAAACAAGCAAACAAATGTATCCCAAGAAGTTAAGAATGTCACCAGTGAGAACCGTGGTCTTAAAGAAAACATTTCTATGAGACCAAAGAAACCACAAAACTCACGTGTAGATGAGAAGTTTAGGGGACAGTAAGTCTCCACTAATGGGGATACAACGCCAGTAGAAATAACAAGACTGTGGATACACTGTGAAGAAGTGACCAATGTCACCAAACAATATGTACAGAAAGTGGTAAGTGGGCACAGGTTTTGCAGGTGTATGTTTTTACCGAAAATACAAAATAAAATTTAAGTTTAAAGCTTGATAACCACCACCATTATAAAAATAAATTAGAGACCCAAAAGGGCAAAGTGCTTCCCTCAGTTGGGTAAACACAGTAACTGTGGGCCAGGTGTACACCAAACCCCTGAGCAAACTGTAAAGCGTCTTATTTTGAAATTGTCAGCGGGTTATTTCTCTTGCAATCAGAATTTACTATGGAGTGAGTCTCAAATTTCTTTTAAGAAAATCGAAATCCGTATCACTTACAACAGCATTCGTTTTTTCACTAAGAACAAGGCATTGAGTTTCTTTCATGAGTTCAGGCAGATACTTCTAACCACTTCCCCAAACTAAGGAAAATTCATTCCTAAACTACCAGGAGTACATTCTATAATACAAACATCTTTGGGCAATGTAAAAAGACTAATCGAATGCTTTTAAAGAAATATTTCAAGCTTTTAAAAAACAAAACAAAACTCTCTGATTTCTATAACACTCAACAAGGTAAATTTGTCTACTGATAGTCTTCCTTATAATATTACTTTGACTTTACTTGCCATTCACCAATATCCACCAACAAATAAAAATGCTCAAGTCAGCCACACAAAGGCAGTTAAAGACCACACAACCACCCCAACTCTCTCAAGTCATAGTTAATATTCTGCTCAGCATCTATCCGCAGCTCTACAGATCAAACAGGCCTGGAAATGGGAAGGTGTGGGGTGGGAGGAGGAGAAGCTGGCTTCTTTGTGTGTTACCAGGGCAGAGCAGGGACAGGAGGACATAGAGAGGCCGGTATGGGCTGCATCAGCACTTACCTTGAGGATGTCCCCCCTTTTGAAACTCAGCTCGTCGTCTGCAGTAGCTTTGAAGTCATATTTGGCGATGGCTTCCATTCTGAGGGCTGCTCAGAGCTCGACAGCCTGAAGCAAGGGGAAGGGAGTCTTCCCTGCAGAAGCAAGCCAGCCGCTCAGCCTCGCTTCTCTTCGGTGACGTGCTCCAGCCCTCTGGGGCACACAATGCCACCCTGAAGCAGAAGAGGGACCATTAAGAGAAGGGACCAGGATAGAAAGCAGCCCCGCCCTGCCAATCGGCCAGCTGCCCCAGCCCCCACGCCCCCTGGACTGCCCGACTCAGCCTCCTCCCTCCCTTCTAGGCAGAAGCCCGGTCTGCTCCTTCCTCTTTACAGCTTCAGCCCCAGGCGACTGACAGGCCTAGCGGCCAATGGCGGCGGCCGCCTGAGCGCTTCCAGCGCACACTTCCTCTTCCTTCTTGCTGGGTGTGCACGGAGCACAGGCAGCCGTGGTGCGGGACAGTCCCCGCCTTTCCTCTCTTGTCCCAGTGCTGCTCCTGAGGATGGCACTGCCAGTCCTCTGTTAAACAGCCTAGATCCCTATATATACACCACCAACCAGTCTTTATGGTTTCCCGAGAACACTGGGCGGGGAGCTCTTGAGTCCACAGTCAAGAGCAAGCATTGGAGGCTTTGGTCTTGAGCTGCTTTACTCTTAGACACTAAACGTTGGTCGGAGAAAGCCGATGTAGATACTCCTGTCTCATTCCAGTTACTAAAGCAAGCACACGGGGCTCTCTCCACCTTCCACTTCCAGGCTGCTTGGCAAGCAGCGGCCACCGGGGCTTCCTGCTGGTGGTGATCCCCTCCTCCCCTGAACACAGACAGTCTTGAGGGTCTCCCCGTCCCCACTGTCCTTGAACTAGGTGAACAAAGTTTAGCAGTCCACAAACAGTCACATTATTTTCTAACTAGCCTAAGAAGCAAAACTCAAGACCTATCCCTACACTGGCCAGGAACGCCTTTTCAGAATCTGAGTTGCCAGGGTTCTTGCCTGGGGAAACAAGGGGGCAGTGGCAGGTCAGACAGAAGTCTCTCGGTTTCTCTGGGAGAAGCTTTTCTCAGAGAAAGAAGAGTACTAAGTGGATGTCATGGCATTTCCCAAGAGAAGATTCTGTAAAGACACTTAGGTAGGGTCTCAGGTGAGGGCGAACTGTGGGCAGTACCACCAGATAGGACACCTCCCACTTGCCCTACCACCTTTGCATAAGGCAAGGAAAACCAGAACCGCCTCCTCCTGTTTGCTCAGTCACTGTTTTCATGCAAGCTAAACAAAAGCAGCTAAGGACACTGGCACTGACAGTATGGGGACAGATATTTATAGTGACACCTCTCAGGACAATTACCACTTAGCAGAGAGCTCAATTGAGGGGCATGAGTGATTATTAGTCTTTTGTGCTAAACTTAACAATTGGAGCATCAAGTATTGCTGCCAAGGACCTAAGCAGTAAAGCAGCTGGGACTGTTGTGAGGAAAGGGATATAGATGAGTATTATCACGGAGGAGGAAAGAAATCACCCGGTATTAAAGTCGGCCAGCCAAATTCTGAAATCCAAACAGTCTACTACCGGTAACTCAACGAATCAATTTACAGTACGGTTTTTAACATTCGATTTGTACGAGGATTTTATTTCTACTATTTCTAAAATAAGGTACTTCTGCTGTTTAATGTATTCCTGCTATGTGTGGTGCTGCAGGTTACTGTGCTGGACTGCAAAGTCAGTTTGAACCGCAAGGTCAGTGGTTCAAGCTCACCAACTGCACCTCAGAAGCCGGATACAGGGTCGCTGACAGTACAACAGACCTATTACCTGGAAGATGAAGCCTTAGGTGTTCCACCTCTGCCAATATCCCCCTTGCCCTGGACCCCAGTACTACAACGTATTTAGGCTTAATCAGTAGTGTCACATTGGTTCCGAATCGGGCTGTGAACCTCAAGGTCAGCAGTTCGAAACTACCAGCCACTCCGCGGGAGAAAGATGAGACCTTCTGCTCCTGTAAAGATTTACAGCTTTGGAAACCCTGTACATGGTCACTATGGGTCGGAACCAACTCGACGGGCACTTAACAACAATAACCAATGATACAAACAATGAACTACAATAAGTCTTCTTTTTTGAACAACTTGCCAAGTTTTTCCAGCATTAATGACTGCTTTCTTAGAAAATTGCCTTGTTTCCAATGTAATTAAATGTTTATAAATACAAATCTCCAAAATCTATTATATATCTATCAAGACTTTCTAATTCTTCAGGTCAGGTTGTTGGAAATATATATCAATGATAGGAAGCTGGAAGAAGAATTGAGTAATTAATGAAAAAAGAAGACATTTCATTTTGAAAAATGGAAAGCAGATAATCCAAAGCATAGTAGTTGTTATGCCTTGGAGCTGGAAAGAGCAGAAAATCTCCTTTCTCATGCATAGTGGCTGGTAGATTCAAACTGTTGGGAATCCGGTTAGCAGTTCTAGCAGCCCAACTTGTAGCTCACCATTCTAGCAGGGCTCCTGAAAACAGTTAACAGGTCTAGACGGGTCTGCTGAAAAGAGATGGCGATAAGATTCTTATGATTCAATAGTAAGTAATTGTTATCATGACTAATTGTGGCTGTCACAATTGTGAAGGTAGAAATTTTGTAACAAAAAACAAAAAGGGGGGGGGTAGCTAATTTTACAGTTCAGAAACAAAGGACCCTAGGACCACCAAGGGAGAAGAGCACAAACCGGAATGCAAGACCTTATCCAGAGAAGCAGCAGAGCCACCAGGAACCCCAGAGATGGAGGCAGAGATGGGGACAAGGAGACAGGGAGCAGCTGAAGACTCTATAGATTTAAGGAACGAGAGAGATTAAGAGCTGGTGGCCAGGAGGCAGACTTGCAGAAGGTGCTTTTTTTTTGGTGGTTTAAATTATTATATATGCCTGAGTGTTTCGTTTTTGTTTTTTTTTTTAAAAAAAGAGCTAAAGTGAATAGAGAGAAATACTGTTATGTGATGGTACATGGAGGAGATTATAAGTAATGAAACAAGGTGTATGATTTGTTGAATGTAAATCTGATGATCTGCCTTGTAAACTTTCACTCAATTCACAATAAAAACTTTAAAAAAACAACATAGTTAACAGGGCATAAACTCTGTCATTCAAGATTTAAGAGAACTGCATGGTAATTGAACAGCTATAGCATAAAAAACAAAAGTTAATATACAGCAATTGCATATTAGCTGTAAGTTTTTCAACTGCTATTCAATTCATCGATCACTAATTTCCTAGAAAAGCTTAAGCAGATGAACACTCAAACACTCTCACAAACCATCTTTCACACAACTGTTGCTTTGTGAGCTAGTTTGATAGAAATCAAAAACCAAGCACAATCAATAATACTTCTGTGGTGGTGGTGGTATGCTGTGGAGTCGGTTCCAACTCATAGCAACTCTGCACAGGGTTTCCTAGGCTGTACGTCTTTATGGGAACAGAAAGCCTCACCTTTCTCCTGAGGAACAGCTGGTAGTCTTGAACTGCTGACCCTGAGGTTAGTAGCCTGACTCATAACCACTACACTACCGGAGCTCCTTCAATACTTCTGTGGCCACGCCAAATAAAAATGACCCTACAAATATTAGTATAGTGGTTACGAATTGGACTGTGAACCACAGGGTCAGCAGTTCGAAAACTACCAGCTGTTCAGTGGGAGAAAAATGAGGCTTTCTGCTCCCGTAAAGATTACAGCCTCAGAAACCCTGTGAAGGGTCCACTATAAGTCGGAACCAACTCCACGGCACGTAACAACAACCAATATTTACTCATTCTACCCAAATTTAAACAGCTACTATATTCTAGGCAGCGTGCTTATTACTGGGTGACAATAAAAAATTTTTTAAAAAACAGAGTCCACATTCTAACAAGGAATTACTTAGTTGAATCTTTTGGAGAGTTATTTGGTAATGTCTATAGACAATTTTTTAATACACACCTTTGCAAGCATTCCCATATTCAGGATTTATTTTACTGAACCAGTGACACAAAACACAACATGCAAGCTAAACAACATGCTGCACATACTAATGTCATGTTACTGTACAAGTGAAGATAGTTGAAATGATGTTTTCTTTAGCGAATCTGTATAGGGTTTCCAAGAAGACAGTAAATCTTTATGGAAATTGTTAGCCTCATCTTTCTCCCTCCAAGTGACTGGTAGATTTGAATTCCTCCTAAAAATACATGTACACCTGATGTGGCGCAGAGGGTTAATGCGATGAACTGAGATGTCAGTTTGAACAGCAAGGTGAGCAGTTCAAGCTCACCAGCCACTCCTTGGAAACCCTATACAAGGTCACTATGAATCGGAACCAACTAGAGGGCACCTAACTTAATCTGATCAATATCTATCTATGAGGTGCTTAACTACAACAACCTTTGGAATAGCCTTTGATATTTAATTATCTAGATATATTATCAAGTTAAAATGCAGCAAAATGTAGTGGTGGTGGTTACGTGCCATGGAGTCGGTTCCGACTCATAGCGACCCTGTACAGGGTTTCCAAGGCTGTAAATATTTATGGGAGCAGAAAACCTCATCTTTCTCCCACGGAACAGCTGGTAGTTTCGTACTGATGACCTTGCTATTCGCAGCCCGTTCATAACCACTATGCTACCAGAGGTCCTCGCAGCAAAATATAGTTTATCCCATTTCAGCAAAGCAAAATAACGTATGTGGGGGTTTCACAAAGTATATGCAAAAATTCTATGATCGTTTCATTCCTCTTGTCCACAAACATTCTGAAGCTCCCATGGACATTACCAGTATACCCTTAAATCCCCAAGGATAACAATGGTGATTATCTTTGAGTCAAACCACAGAACACGTGCTCCCTCAGCATCATATACCTCAATTGTATTTCTGCTGTTTAACACTAAGTAAGCACTATGGTGTGGCACTGTGGGTTAATGCACCAGACTGCAAAGCCGTTTGAACTGCAAGGTCAGCGGTTCAAGCTCACCAGTCACTCCTCGGAATCCCCGTATAGGGTCGCTATGGGTCGGATCTAACTCTATGGCACTTAACAACAAAACAACAAAGCACTATTAGCCCAAGGTCGGTGGTTTGAGCCCACCAGTTGCTCTATGGGAGGAAGATGAAGCTTTCTGCTCCCTGAAAAGATATAAAGTGTTGGAAACAC